ATCCTTAATCCTTTAACAATGGATAATCCTAATCACTCCGTTTATTTACAAATTTAAACATATACAATTATAATCTAAGTACACCACAAATTATATAATAAAATATCAAATTATATAATAATATTATCAAATTATATAATAAGAAATTATAATTTATTTTCTTGCCTAATTTTATGTTAAGCTATAAGCATAAACTAGAACGTTTTAACGCAAAATATCGAGACATTAAAATAAGCAATGAGTATTATTATTTATTTTGATTTATACTGCACGAACCGCGCGCAGGTGTTGATAATCGATCAATAAGATAACGTTCTCGAAATAAACACCGTCCGATGAGAAGACTAGGGAATCGGCTTGAGATATCTCATCGCTGCCTCCAGCCGACCGACATTAAAGTTTCAAGCTGCCGCCACACCTCCCGTGGGAGGTAAAATGCAGCGAGCGCGCACTGGCTGCAATTTAACCACGCGCAACCTCCCGAATTTCCACCTCGTCAGAGTGCCGGATGTTTCGCAACTCTTTACTCCATTGTCAAGTAGTTTTGCTTTCGCATTTTAACGTAAGACGCACAGTCCGCCATTTCCGAACCCGATCGCCGTCAAATTTCTCCTCTATTCCTGTTACCAATCTTGAGTACAAATTGAAAAAAATAGTCAAAAAAATTCTAAGACAATTAAAATATTCAATATTTTGATGTAATTTAAGTAATTTGATTTAAAAAACTATAATTGTTAGGAACTTGTTCTTTGCCGCATGTCACGACGCAATAAACGGAGGATAAGTAGAGAAAATGGCGTTTATTTGCACGTGTGCTTCTTAATTTCGTTCCCAAGCTAACATCCTCAATGGGTATAATAGAAATCGAAAGGGAGAACGAAGGCAGGTGCGAAAAACATTTATTGCTTAATTTTACTCGCGTAAACACGTACTATGGGTTAGCCACAAATATCGATTTTTGTTGTCTTGCATGAATAAAAAATTATAGGACTCCTCTTGTTTAATATTTTGTTTTTTTCTAATTGTATAGAAACAACGAATTTTTGTATAAAAATAATAATAATACATTATATTTCTATAACTGTATCTTATACTCTTAAGAAAGCACAAATATTAGAAAGTTTTTAATTATTTTGTTATTTATATATAAATTTTCCGATACAAATCTAAATTTGATAAAATATTTCTTTAAATACTTGCGTATTTAAAAGATAATTTATAAATTCAGTTCTAGATTCAACGATATTTTAAGAATAACTTTGTAGGTTAATATAAAATTTCTCTACCATTACATATCGTTGCATACCACAAAATTTATTTATAATTATATATTATTTATTTATAATTTATAATTATATGTATAAATTTAGAAAAATGTAAATTTATATTCTGTCGAGAAAGAGTTTACCAATTTCAATGAATCGATCTGTCTATATTTTCAGTGTTCTGGTGCGGCTTCGGGCGATTTTTCGGAACGAGTGGCGGCACTTCTACAATCGTCTTCGACCCAGGATGACTGCTAGTAGTGCGCGCTATAACAAGTAACAGCTTTTTCTTCCCTAATCCTGCACATCGATGAAAGGAAGGAAGAGGAACGATATCATTCAAAGGAGGAAGTGATTCCACACGCACGCTGCGCGTTCTAAATGATTTTCGTCGAGCTAATCTGTAAGCTTTAATGCGTTTCGAGGCAGTGTCTCCACTTTAGGCTTAAGACATTCTTTTTTTCTCGTGGATGATATTACGGCACGATGATAAAAATGTCGTAGACTGATTATCAGAGTAAAATGCGACTTCCACAAGACTTCGCGTAAAATAAAGCAATTTCTCTCGAGACTCTTCTCTTTATGTCACTTCCATAAAAAATACATCTCGCTCAATATCATATCAATATTGTTATTTGTAGATTAAATATGTTAATGCTACAGATTAGATTCAACACAATTGAACAAGATTATAAAATAAAAATTAATTTTATTTATATTTTGACAGAAAAATTAACCATTTAAAAACCCTTCAACCGATATAGGCAAACAAACAATCAATATGTTTTCAATGTTTTGTTAATGCATTCAAAAGTTATTTTACTTAGAGATATTGTTTTATTGAATTTTATTTTGATAATAACTAAAAATAGTGTCCATTTAGAAGTCTGTACAGAAATACATTCAACAATGCATATTCTTCAATTTTTAAATAGGAAAAAATTATAAAAGAGAAACTGTATCACAAAGTAAACAAATTCTACGGAAATTGCTTTGAAATAGAAGTCAACATTGCGCGATATAACACACGTACCCATGTACTTGCACACGGGGTAACAAAGTCCACATCCAGCGAGAGTTGCGAGGATAATGTCCGGTCAGAATTTTCCGGCAACGTCGGAAAAGCGACAAGTGCGTGATAGTGAATGTGTGTTAGTGGAGGTGTGCATGCGGAGAGGTCGGAAAACGAGAGATAGTTTCGAACGAGCACGATGGGTGGGCGTTGGAATGGCGGTGATCTTCCTGGTGAGGGCGCAGGCGTTAAATTTCTAGATAGCCCCGGCAAATAAGTGCCGCGTAGATAAGCGTGGAAAAACCAACCGTGCCAACCCGTGGCTAGGGAAAGGGGAAGGCGGAGGGATACCTCTACGAATGCTGGAAAAAGCGAGAAAAGAGAGCCGCGCCGTGAAACGGGCGCGATAATGGCTCGGAAATGGTCTCGGCATACGTAGTGAACGAAAAGAAAGAACGGCACCGAAATTGCAAGTCATCTAGTAGTGTGAAAGAGTTTCCCTAAATTAGGACTGTATCTTATGAAAATTGGTACGTAATATTATATTCATAAGATTATCATCTCGAAAAGAATTATGATTATAGTAATAATAATTTGGACATTGCTAAACATAACAAAACTGTAAATAGTGAATGAAAGTAGAAAGAAAGAATATTCTAACATATCTCTCAAAAAATAAAATTAAAAATTCGTAAAATAATTATGCAAATTGAAACATGAAAAACTATGCTAAATTTCTAAAATGTTTCATGCCTAGAATTTATAATGTCCTCTTTAATGTTTCGAACGTCCAAAATAAAAATCGAGATATTTGATCGAAAATTCTTCAATATTTTCAGAAATAAATTTGTACGCTATATTAAATAGAAAAGATTAATTATGTCAGTGATATTCCGCATCGAAATTAATTTTGTAATAATCATACAATACATTTTATTTAAAGTATAATTTTTGTCTAGATTTATAAAACAATAGAAATCCTAAAAATTTTAATTCAAAAAGAGATAAGTGTATTATCAAAGTTATATTCAAATGGATTACGTTGATTGGCATAATTTTCTAATATTATTGGATTTTTCTTCGCGCGATTGTCATCATTCTCGATTATATGAGCAAATATGATACTTATAGTGAGAGAAATGCATGGCCATTTCGCGCTCTATATATTGAATTCCGTACGAGTTCTATAAATTGATGCCGTTACAGACGTCACGTATATGTATATATATATGGAAGTATGAATATTCACGCTACGAAAGATATACGAAAGCCCCAGAGCGTTCAGAATATCGATATTCAAGATTGCCAAACCACGAGTGAGGCGTAAAATATTTAGGTCCACGTGCCGAAATGTTCTAAAAACCACGATGGTATATGCTGTGCATTTGCATAACGCGTTTATTTTAGCAATGATTCTGACAGGCTACAAAGGGTTTTGAGAGATCAAAGACAAAAGGGCAACTTACATACGTTTTCTATACATTCAAAATAAATGCTAATATATATTCAATCATATATTAAAATTTTATATTCTATTTAATAAGCAAATAATATTTTATATTTTGTTAATAGATTGTAACATTTTATTTATATTTTATTGTAATAAAAATTGTAAATTACTCAAATAATTCTAAAGAAAATTTACTTTAAATTATAAAAAATATTTTCAGATCTCTGGAAACGTTTTCAAAATTTAAAATCATTGAGCGGTAATTCGGTCAATTATGATGGATTGTATTCCCTTTCGCATTCTGCAAATATCATAATCAACGCGAAGTCCTCGACCAAATGGAGTCGTACTATTAACCGAGCGTCTCATTCGTCATAATTAATCACGTCGCAGTCAGTCGGTATCGTTTTATTGGCTCCGTTACACGGTACGCTAACTTCATAATGGCACTTGAAGTTTCCGTGCTTGTGAAAGTGGGTCGGTCGCGAGTTGTAAGCGCAAAAACGCGAAAGATCGTTCGATTTGTGTCACAGCTGGGATTATAAATCTTGACGCGGATTAACCGTGATAAGACCGCCAAAGTGTATAGATTATCACTATTACGATCATCATAAATTCAATAATGCTTAAAAATCGCGGTAATTTAAAACATCTAAAAAATTAATAAAAATTAATAACTTTTAATAAAAGAAATTAGAAATCTATCAAAACATAAATAAATAAATATTATATTCTCCAATATATAACTTTTCTTGTTTAATTCAGTTTTCCAATTGTGCGTTGAATGTTAAAAAATAATTACTTTATACAACGATAATAATTTCAAGTTTCCGGTAAATATCTCGGAACGTAATCTGCTATTTTTTTTTAAATAAATTTTTATTTTTGATTCTTTCGAAAGATATATTCCAATTAAAAAATATAAATTTTAAAGTTACTCTCAAGTAATTTAAAAATTGATATAATCGTCCGGTTTATAACCATTATATACCTCGAGCTATATTTCATACAAAAATCCAAGTGGTAACAATCGATTTTGATCAGACGAAGAGAACGTAACGCAGTCGTTATTCATTCTACGTAACTACTTTCCGCGCAGTATCGAATAGCATCATTATTCCCCGAGAACATTTTGTAAAACGATACATCGACATGGAATTGATCGAATTTCGATTAAATTCTTAACAATGAAAAGACAACGTGAAAGCGCACATCTTCTTTCTTTTCCTTTTTGCTATTTGTAAAATTTCGTTTTTCCTCTCGATAAATGGAAATCCAAGCCATAGAGATTTGTAACAGACATTTCATCGCGAACGAGAATACCAAATGAAACTCATTGCTATTCAGCTGATATGAGCATTAGTAGCCATAAAATATGTATTCGTATATAACATAATATTACCTAATCCATTATACTTAGTTAGTACACAGTTATTCATATAGACACTTATATAGATTCTGATTAAATATTCAGTACACACATCTGCGATATCATAAATCTATTAATTTGAGTTCATAATTAATAAGTTCAATTTTCATATGAATAAAATATACAAAGTAGATTATGGAAAGGAAGATTATGGCCTTAAGCACTTTAAGTCGATTTGAAAATGCGGTTAATGATGCAAAGTGTAAATTTCGTATAATTATTACGAAAGTTACTTATAAGTCAATTTCCCAACATTAAGCTAATAAAAAATGCACAATAAAAATATGTTACATTAATTTATAAAAACAACTCGACAATATGTTTCTTTTCCACTTATTTATCTTATTAAAATATCGATATCGTTCTAATATTTTATTTATATATTATTTATTAAAAAAGTAAAATGTAACTTTAAATGTAAAAAAAGTTTTTTTCTTTATATTCAATTGTCAGTAACTTATTTTAACAAATATTAATTAATATATTTTCATCCTTTGATATCAATGCAATTGGAATCGGAAATATTACACGATACACTCTGCATATAGATCTACCATGACAATACTACGAATAATCCCTATACCATATGACCGTAATAGTCAATTTGTTATAAAATTAAATGTAATTTGACAAAGCGCATCTCCGTATAGCACGTACTATACCGTATCGTTTCCGGTGATTGGACGAACAGTATGATATAAATTGCATTGCAGAATCAATATTCACATAACGCAAATAGGCCACTATGTTTTAGTCAAATTAGAATTTTGCGGCCATGTGTATCCAATTTAATGTCGTTAGCATAAATAAATCTCATCCAATTCGGAACATTATTACGAACACAATAACAATAATAAAATACAAATAAATAGGCATAAAAAACTATCGCCACTGACTGCTCATAATCGAGATTTTGTGATTAAGAATTTCACAAAGCGCAGTTTGTAAATTTACTTTGCGCAAGAAGACGTGCCATAAATTTTGACGTTTGCTCTAATTGTCAAAGATACAGTCGTTAATAAAAATACGAAACGTCGTGATTCGAAAGTACGAAGTAAACTTTTGTCACCAGCATCGATATCGTCAGTTACTGTTCTAACTTTTGTCAGAGTGGATCGTATAAATAATGCCGATACGAATAAATGTTTGCAATGAAAGCAGAGAGACGTACTCGGGGAGCCGGTTCGTTACTCCGTGCATTCGCTTCGCCGTTTTTTCGCTGACAAAGTAAACTCGGTACATTTTGATTCGCAAAACAATTCGAAAGCTAAAGTCTGAATACTGGTCCGTTGCGTGCAGCAGTTTTGCTGCGGCCAGTAGTAACTGTATTTATCCGATCGACCATAACAATCAACATTATTAATGCCTCCGTATCGACCGCGTATTGCAAATTCAGCCGAATTATAGACGTGCTGGAAACGTGTGCAAAATACTCCGAAGAAAACTCATATGCCTCGATAATATCAATACGATATGATTAAAGCGTAAGGGAGATAAAATTTCGAGTTTTCGCAAACATAAAAGTCAGATAAATCTATGATAAAGTGAAATAGTGTTTATGTAAACCATAAAGAATTCTATCAGATATCAAACTTCCACATTCTTTCTAAAAACAATCAAAAAGAGTATATGTCTTGCCCTTAAAAATATAAAGATTTTGAAGATTCAATAATTGTTATGATTTAATAACTTTCTTCCTTATTTTCAGAGTAAGCAATTTCGCGAGACGATTTGAAGTGCTACCGAGATTTTCGCGCGCGGATACATATAACGGTACT